GCTCCTATCTAATGGCAGACGTGCCAGTCTTATATAGAACCTTCATACCCCGCGTATGGTCCGAGTATAGAGTAGTATAAGCTTTCCTTATACTTCCTTATACTCCGGTAGTATAGTGTAGTATGAGCCTCCCTTATACTTCCTCATACTCCCTAGTCACATGATCTCCTGTAAGGAAGAAATCCTTGGATCGCTTAGCTACCCTAAGCGATCCCTATTTGCTATAAGAAACCTGAATGTGCCTGTCGAGGGTTGCGCCTCTTATTATGACAAGTATCACGTGAACACGTGATTCGTGACACCTACTTAACTCTACTTAAGTAGCTTTTAGTTCTACTCTAACCTACTCGCTAATACTTAAGTTAGTTAGAGTACTATTCAAGTAATACTAAGTAACTTTACTTAAGGTTTTATAGTACTCCTAAGTACTTTAGCTAATAGATATAACTACTCGGACATAGTGTGACGACACGTACGATGTGTTGCTCAAGGAGCCTCCAAGGTGTAGGTTATGGAATCGTAGAACTGTCTATTCGAAGATTCTAAGCTGAGGAGAAGAGGAGAGCTCGTGAGAGCTTGAGTCTAAATACAATGTGGCTCGCTAAGGAAGCCACGTGATATGAATGGCACGTGACGGTCAGAACCGTCACACATAGCCGCTAGCTATACTATACTATTCTATCTATTCTATCTATTTTCTCTCTAGTAACCATCTATAATAATTATAGCTAGCTCGGGTTTTTACTAGAAAGAAAGACGGAAGAGTAAATAATAGGTAGGATTACTAAGTACTACCAAGGTATTTAAGGATAATTATTCTATAATTTAGTTACTATTTATAGTATAACTACCTATAGTTGAGTAAACTTAAGTAGTTTAAACCACTACTCTAATCCACTGAACTAGACCTTATACTCGAACCTAATTATATATAACCCGTGTATACCTAAGTAGCTAGCTAAGTATTTCTTTCGTATACTATAATACTAACTACACACACATTCACACCCTCCCCATCCCTATCCCTCCCCTCCAAAGAATCCCCAACCCCCC